AGGAAATTAGATTTTTTATTATATATATGGTAACGCCAACAGTATATCATGCAAACCGTAATATGTTGGAATACCCTATTATCTTGCAAATTATAATTATTAATTGCTTGGAATACCTGTATGTTCGCACAATCCTTTATCCCACGTAATATCGTCGATAGCAATATCTGCTATATAGCTATCTCCAGTGTGCCCAGTGATCAATATCTAAAGAATATAATAAAACCAATGTGAAGCATAAAGCAAATCTAGGGAAAAGCTCTACGATCTTTAATTCAACAATAATTAGTATTCTCAATAAGCTGATAACAAACTTAACTCACTTTATACTCTTGTGCTCTTAATGATATATCCACTTCAGCTAATAGCCAAATGTTGCCTTTATTACCCTCTTTTGACCATAATATTTCCGAAGTGAATGATACAACTTGTAGTCGATTAGTATTTGCTCCATTCATATTATACCAAAATCGCAGACAATGGCTATCATTACTACGAATTATAGGACTTTCCAAAGTAGCGTTATCGTATAATGGATTAGATGTTTCAAGATACGCATAATAGCCATCTTTAACAAAATTATTTCCAAGAGAAAACACTTTCAATATAATGTTAATAGCAAACTGTTATCAGATTGATAAGGAAAACTATTTAAGAGATATTAAAATATAATATATAGTTTCTCTTACAGCGTGGATTTTGATAGGTATGATCGTAACTCGGACCAGTTTTAGGCGTGATAGTTTCGCTCTTATTCCTCACCCATGCAAATTTAGAATCTAAATGCCGGCTATTTTCCCATTGGCAAAAGTTCGTCTCAAAGTTACAATTTAAATTGACTTCCATAGGTACTGCTCTACCTAGATATACCAGTACGATATTATAGCGTGAATAAAATGTTATAGTCATGAGTTATGCAAGTATAGAATAAGGACAGGTAAATTTCTTGAAATACACTATCTTTCTGATTTGCTTTGCAATAATCAAAATAGAACATAGTATGCTTATTTTGTTATGTGATGCGAAAATATTTCTAATACTTTACTTTGAGCAATAATTTAGTTGATTTTTAATCTTTAACGCCAATATCATAGTCATATGTGACTATCGTTGATATATTATTACCTAAACTAGAGTAAACTTACCATTGATTGAAATCCAACCAAACGCAAATATTAAAATTGTCAATTCCGTGCAAACGTATGGAGAATGAAGAAGCATCTCGGTGAAAAATTTTCCTTCTCTGTAGTCACGTATCGATTAATGTGATTAAACTACTTCACTTATATTGTGATAATGTATTTAAGATAAATCGAGTTCTGCTATAATTTACAGCTATTGGGGAAAATAACAACATAAATGTATAGTTAGGGTGGCAAAAAGTAACTTTTAACTTATTCAGATTGTACATGCTGATGAGGATCAATTAAGAAATAACTCATAAAAAAAGGCTATTTGTGGTAGATGAAGTATAAGAAATGGGATGCTAACTCGAATATACAGTAGATACACGAATTAAATAGCAATAAAAGGTAGATAAGCAACATACTCTAAAAATGCGATAGAATATTTTTTCTTACAAAAATTAATAGATATTATGCGTAAAATTTAATTGTTAATAAACAAGGCGTTATAACAATCGACAAGTCTAAAAAGTGTAGAATTTAATAAGACATACCTTTTGACCTTGTGTGGATTGTTGAATCACTCAAGCCTTTCTATGGTTTGTAAAATTTAAAACCTGTCTACAATGTATAACTTATAATTAAATCCATGTTATATATTGATGTACGTGAAGCGTGTTATATCAGTTATAATGGATCGATGAAACAAAATTTGAAATGGTAAAAGCGTTGGCTTTTTATATTAGTTCATTTTCAATGACTTATGAAGCTTTATATTAGTCTAAAGGGGGTAAATTCATTCTTTAATTCGCAAAGAAAACATGTACCAGTATGCAGTAATGCAGACTGAGATTGATATATCAAAATTTTCCCAGTCATCTACTTAGGTATTCTAAACATATATAAATCGATCACCTTAGCCCTGAAAGGGGAGTTCATGATTTGTTATTCTACCTTAGATGAGATGATCACATTACAACAGGGAAAATATGCATGCCCATAACGCGATTGCTATAATATCTCGTACAAATAGCGTATTGTAATTACCGATTGTAAAACCTATTTCTAACTTTATGATAATTTGTAACTTCTTTGCAAGATCTGATACCATGCTAAAATAACGATAATGTTCTTCCGCTTACGATGAGTGAAGAATGATTTTTTATCTTATATCGACTGTAGACTCAATAAAGTTCTTAATAACTACGAATTCCGATAAATATATAGAGCAACACGCCCTGAAATTGCGGTAAACTATTTTCTCTTCCAAGAATTAATGACATTTCACGTAGAATTTAAATGATGAAAACTAGGTCTTTGTAAAAGCCAATTAGACTACATAGGCTAAATTCCAAGAAGTCTTACTTTTGAATTTACTTGAATTGACGAAAATTTAAGCCTTCTTATCGTTTGTGAAATGTTTTAATGCTTGCATACAAGGTATAATTCGGTTATTAAAACTGTATTTTAACAGGGCGATCTGTATGAACTATGTTGTATCAGCTAAATCGATCGATAAGGAAAATCTTGTACTGTTAAAGCAATGTTAGTACATTTTCTATAGCTTGCCAAGGTTTATCTTGGTCTAAATGAGTAAACCCATTCATTAATTTAATTCACGATAAGAAAAACACGCACTATCTATATAAAATAAAGCTTACCGTACCGAGATTCAATTTTCCCCCAGTCATCAGCTTACTACCTGGGTGTTCTAAACACACAAGTCTATCATATTAGCTTTAATATTAGAGGTTAATAATTTATTATTCTGTCTAGAAGAAATGATCTCATTACAAGAGGGTAAATATTCATGCTTATAAAGTGATGAAGACTACTAGATCTCATACAAATAGCCCATTGTATTCGTTTATAGTAAAGCTCATTTCCAAACTTTATGAAAATATACAACTTCTCAGCAAGATCTGGCACCATGTTAAGATTACGATAATGCTCATTCTATAGTGCGTACTATAATTAATAATGTGCTGTTTATTAGTATAATATTGTAGTAAGATATTATCTACTGTAACTAAAATATATCATAGAATTAGAGGATATCCCTAATTCGTATCCGCTCAATTAGCTATTGCTTTTACGATATTATATGGCAGCAGACACATAAGATTGCAAATATTGTGATTATACGTAGTTTTCATCAGCTTGTTTTTATGTTACCGTAATTCTATATGTTGTGATAATAAACTAATTACGATAAATGAATCATAATTTTACTATCAATCTTTAGAATTAGGCAATCTTAAGGAGTATCCAATTCAACTTCAGGCATCCTAGGGCAGTAGCTACGTAACTGTTAAAGCTATTTCTGTTTGTTTTGTCTTGCAATGAACAGCACAGGTAAGTTAGTTCCATAATCAGAATAAATACTCTTATGTATTGTGTGACGTTAAAGTTAAAAGTCTTTTGGGTAAATGTATTTGTTAGTACCATTTCAAAGATTGACCACACATTCCCAAGAAATAATTAAGGAATGACTTGTAATTCCTTAAGATTGTCCAATTCCTTAGTAAGGGTTGACAGTAACAATTTTGCATATATAAAATACAAGTTTTCTACAGTACTATGCTTTATCACAGCAACTAATCTATAGTGCAAAATATACGAGTAGATTAATTCTGCTTGTCTTCTAACAATTAGTACGAGACTTTTAAATACATAGTCAAACAAATTACTATTGAGCAATCTTTGAGTTTCAAAATGTAAAAAATTTATTTAGAACTTTCTACGATAACAACTAGTGCATTTCTACGACATATAGATTTCATTTAATCTATTTCCTGAAATTTGGTAATAAATACAGTAAATGTAAACGCAATTTTAATATTTTCACTCGGTATCCTAATCATTAACATATTGAAAATGGAATATCTTGCAGATAGCTTAAGACTCCATGTGTATCTGAAACATTTATTAAATTATAAAGCAGACCAAATGATGATTAATATTCAATTACACCAATCGGTTAATGTTGTAGTAGATTATTTCGAGAGCTGGAGTATCGATAGCAATAATTAATGGTAATTACGATATAATACTAAAAGATATCGCGTTATATATGTATGGCTTAGTTATTCCCGTTCCTTATATATATATCAACTGGATATTCATAACTTCGAATACACACACACTATATATATACACATTTATATTTATAGCCATTTATAGCCATTACGATAGATATATATGTATAGTATTTAACAACATTACCGGATTATGCTTAAATAATTCCAGGTCAATCAGAAATGATATTGTTATTAATTATGATCTAGAGTTTAAATCATTTATATATAGTAATTAAACAGGAACCATTATCGATTATGATAATTGAAATTTAGTTATCAACGATTAGAAGCAGCTGCGATAAAGTGCTTTTGGAAGGATGCCCTACATTAAAACTGCTTTCAAATTAGTGAATAGGAGAGCATCTGTACTTTGATAGGATAATAATACAGGTATTTAGTAATAACAAGGTTGAAATTGTAGCTATAAGAACATGATAATTTATGATAACAGATACTAATACTTTAGTGGTAACACTTCGAAGTGGAATTATGAGATAGAATCGTATCAAAATAGAATAAAATGACTTAATTACAATGCCTATTAATTTAAGATACCCAATATTCTTTCTGAATACTAATAAGCCAGCTAGATTAGCAATAAGTTCTATCCGTATTACAGTTATTGGATGACCGATTTTATTGCTGTACGTGTAATTTTGTGATAAGTTAAATAGGATGAGACGATTCGTTATTATATGTGGTAGAAAATAAGATTAATAAATAAAAGTATTTTTATCTTCTATCACATTATAGAATAAAAAAATAGAAGCTGAGCCTAACATGTATGGTATTTCCTTTATGACAGCTTACTTAATTGAGATTTTTGATCAATTGGTGGAATGGTAGCCACACCAGTAAAATAATTAGCGCTAATCCTTTCATTGCCATGATTACCTGAATGATAACTTCTATTATTGGAAGTACTACTGCTTGCTGAACCCAACTCTGGCAGATTAGCTTTAGCCTTCGTTATGCGCTGATGGGGATTACTGCTATTGCTATTATTATTGTTGTTGCTATTATGATGATTGGGATTAGAACCGATAGGATTTGTTTGCGATTCAAAAACAGGTTTCATTCGCATAGGTATAAATCTTTTCTTAATTGGCATTGCTTTAATATCGCTTTGTGAATGCAATTTTAACTCCAAATTATATTTTTGCAATACTACTGGATCTTTAGATGACGGTGTATGGGGATGATTAGGGTAGCTCCATTTTGAATAGCTACAATCGCAGAAATTATAATAACAAAATTATCAATTTAACTTTGTTATGAACCTACCCCTAGCAAACACGTAGGATAAAAGCAGTCTTCTCATGAATTTTTTAATCATATGTAGTCATAAATTGTATACTAACCCTGCTGAATCATCTTCCTTAGTGAAGATAGAATCACTTGAATCTTCGTAGTCCCTATTATAACAATCATCAAACAGAAATTAATTCACTTTAAAACTGCTATCACTTCGCTTTAATACTTATTAATAATATCTTGCTTTCTACTGAGATTTACAGGCAATAATAGTTCCTTTCTATCTAATAATAATATAAACTTAAGGGCATACTGTAGTAGTATTGCTTATACAGAATTTAATTAGAGGATGTTGTAAATTGCTATTTTCTATGACTACATTAACAAGATTTTCTTCCTATCAAAACTATACTTAAAATAAGTAAATTCTCTCCATTACGAGCTGCTCTATAGAATTATGAGTTACACAGAAAAGGAGAAGAAAGACTAGAAAAATGTGCAGTTAAGTCATTCATGTATTATAAGGTACTGAATTAAAGAAAAGACCATATAATTATAAGACAGCCGTAAAAAATGTCAGGAACGTTTACATTTCTGTGAGAATGCAGATGAAATAGACGAATACACATATAAGAACTACCAATCAAGTAGATGTAGTAATTTTAATTAAGACTAAATAAAGTCTATAACATAGTTCAGATCTATATGATAATTTCTAAGTCAACACAAATGTGAGCAACATAAATGCAAACTATCTGGCTATAACATACTGGTAGTGTTGTCCTGGCCAAGGGCTAGATGAAGTCATATTTTCTAAATCAATGCTAATTTATAAAATATCAATTAAATTGATTAGTTTTAGATGATTAACCTTGAAATATCATGGTTATCGTACTTATTTAATATCAAATTGTTAGTAAAGATCATTGCAGTAAAAATTAACTGTAATTTTACTTGTCTACAGCATGATAACTTGGTATTGATTTTTGTCCATTTCCACTGCTATAGCGCACGTTATTTTCACCTTTAAGAGAGTGTTGGTGGAGTTAAGCTTACGAAACTTCTACGATTTCCTTAATTATTAGTTATTTTGCTTTGCTCTGAAGACTGTAGTTGTATCGTTCACTTGAAACCTATTAATTATTACTATCGCTAGCTATCCCGGTTTCAAATTAAATCTTACTTTGCTCAACTGGCTTTCCGGATCGCTTTTTTTCTAATGGCTGTAACACACTGTAACGGCTGGAATTTTCGAGTGGTAATTTGATTGAACGATGCTTTTTCTGATGGAGATTAGAAGTTAATTTTATAAATTAGAGTTGAAATATTGGCTAGCAAAAGAAAACTTAGCTATGAGAAACTCTAAAGTGATTATTATTTATATTCAAGTTCTTTAATTAATTATTTAGAAGAAATATTATTACAGTACTATTCCAAAATCTGATTTATAAAGGAGATATTGAAGTAAATCTTCACATACCAGATGTAATTCTCGAATGGAATCTAAGGAAGCTATAGAGTAATAAGAGAATACAGTTATAAATCATTGATCGATTAACATCGATAATATTATGGAAATCAGTTTAGTACAGTCGTATAAAATAAAGCACCTTGATACAATTTAGTTATTTTCAGGTTGCCATTATAGAGAGCAAAAATAGTAGCTAGTTTACCTGATTTAGACATACTCTTGGGGCGAGCTGATTTCGCATTAATGTTAGCAGAAACCATTTGCTTGATAGACTATCAAAATTTAAAAGTATAACACAGTCAAAATTTGTATATGTGAACATATAAACGTATAAGTTTTGATGCTTTAAAAATCTATTGGCACTGTACTGTACAAGATAGGAATATTATAAGTGAAATGATATGGTTAAAACTAGAGAATCGGAATGTTCAATTTATTTCCGGTAACAAATCATATAGGTACTTTAATGTGAATGAATAAGTTCCTGAACCGGTATATGAATTAGTTTATCTTGTGTAATATTTAATCAGTACGAATCAAAACAACATTGTAATGATAAGCTTCAATTAATTAAAAGAAATATAAAATAAAAATTATAAATGTTTTAATAAGGCCACATTTACCAGCAGGCAATAAAAGTTCCCATGTTAGAGAATGAAAATCTTTACTCACTTTACTCAATAATTTTATAGCAAGTCTTCAATTCTAAATTACTACATGTACGCTGCTGTAGTGTAATAATTTATTACAATAAATTCATATTTAGGATAAAAATTTTTTTTAGTCTGAGTAAGACAGTTAGGGGAATAGCTAAGAATCGCTCATATTGTATTTTTATTATTTTATCGTAAGCCGAAAATACCTTAACTTTCTCTTTTATACGATCTTGCTGATTGCTAGATGTACGAACGACAGTTGGACGAGTCTCTTTCGATGAATTCGAGCTACTATTTGTTAAACTCTGAGAGGAGTCTTTGCTTTTGAGGTCATCATAAGATATCTTAGCAAGTAAACGATTTATGCTATCTAGACTATCGTCTTTGCTAAGGTATGAATCGCTGTATTTCCGATGGCTGCTATGATGACTAATTGATTTTGATTTTTTCACTGGATGACAATGATTCTTGGGCTGTTTTGCTTTCTTGTTCGTACTTTTTGACTTTTCCTGCTATTACAGATTACAAATCATTTAAAAATTGTAATTAATTCCAAAATTGAATTTTTCTTAATAACTTCTTGCAACCTACACGCAATGAATTCCCCTCGTAATTCCGTATCAATTTACCTTTCCTTTTATTTCTGTTTCAACGCTACTTTCCGTTGCAGATTTGGCATTCTTATTTTTAGAAGTTTTCTTTTCTTTCCGTTGTTTAACCTTCGAGGTTTTCGTCTCCGATTTCGTCGTCGTTCGGCTAGATTTAATTGTATCTACTTCTGAATTTACTTCATCAACGCTTGTAACTATAAATTGCCAAAATGAAATGAATTTAGTCGGTACTGACAAAATTAATGAAGTTCTACTGTCAGTAAACTCTTCTGCTAAATAATTTCAATATATTATTACCTTCCTGAGATTCCAGATATTCACTATAGTCTTTTGTATCTACTGTATCAGTAGTTTCTGTACAAATTAATAATAGTAAATATACTTAATTCTCTATCTCATGGAGATAACTAGGCCACTCTTTCTTTAAATATATGCAATAGTTTCTGAATAGTTAATAGATTTAGCTTCACTAGGAAAGACTGATTAATAGCACACTACTCTACCTAGTTGTAATGATATGGCTGTAACTAAGATTTCGCTCTGTATAATTTCACCCTCCTTTGTCCATAAATAAACCTAAGATATGAAGGAGAACCAATATCTTAACATTACTCTTATGACGCTTTTCTCTATTATAGCATTTTAATTGAAAGCATTATCCATGAAATATGCAAAATATAATTTCGATAGCTACGGTCTGAAATGGCATTACTCTAAATTTATATTCTTTATTTTTGATCGGTGCGGATGTCATTTTATATTGTGTTTCTTGTCCAGTGTATACTACCTAAAGGAATAATTGTATATCCAAATTTATATTCTTGATATAAATCTTAATTTAATTATGAATCAAAATCTAAATTACAATTCAATTAATATCATTAATAATTATAATTACTGTAAATATTGTGAAATAGCAAGTTTAAATTTTACTTAATACGTGATGCTGAATTGACACTTGCAAACGGTAGATATCAAGATACGGTTTTAACTAAGGATTGGGTTAGATGTCAAATTTTAAATTACAGTACAATATCAGTAGTAATAGCGCGATATCTTCTTTAAACGTAGAGCATTGGGTGATGTATTATTAAAATTAGGAATATGCCAGATTATATACTGTGATATAATATAATAATCCTAATAGTGAGCATAAACGGGACAGAATAATTTGTAATATAAAATTATATACCAAACAACTAAGATTTCCTTTGAAATTATTACCATAATGTAATCATGATAATTTAGCGTATTGTAGCTGATTTAAAGATTAGCAGTAACCAAATCGTAACAGCTGACTAGGATATCTGCATTAAACTTTACACTATTTACAGCATGTTGGGGATGTAGATACAGATGTGGCCTCCATTTTAGCGTGAGTTAAAATCCTCTATGAGCAGCAATACAATTGATGAATATTATCCGATAGATCAACTTGTTAAACGAAAGTGAGATATATTATTGCTGCTCGATAGGCCTTAGCAGTCTCGCTTGGCTTAATTTTCCATACCATTGAAACCGAATAATATAGAATGTAGTGCTGGAATTAGATCAATCGCAAAGTGATAACTGAGAGAATATTATGGCAGCTCGATAGAAGTATTCACACGTTTTAATGATAGTGATAATATACTTATAGGTATTCGGTAATTCTTTAAAAATTTATAAGTAATATTTACAGCTATTTACGCCGATATAAATTGACGGTAACGAAAAATTTATTGAAAGTAATCTCAGAACCTCTTTGATATTTCTCAAGCTACCGAAAAAGATACTATAACATAATATCTTACCTTTCCATCTATTAGCAGTTGAAATTGATTCACATTTTCTTCCAGAGTTTCTGGAAATTTCCAACTGATGGTAACATTGTCTCCATCAGTATTCAGACTTGGCTTAGGCATTGACTGTGATGCTAGTGCGAAACAAATAGCAATAGTTATGCTTATGATTACAATTATAGGATATTCAAATGAAATCTGGGAGTAGAAACAAAACAGTTTGATATTATCTCTCACTAGTTTTCGTTAATGAAGTCTCTAAAATCTAAGTATGGTGCGGTACGAAATAAAAATTCGAACTATTTACCATACCATTTTTTGTTGTTACTTCAATTTTTGCTTTTGGACCGCTACCAACTGAGGTACAAGCAGCAACCTAAGAAAATACTTTCAAATATTAGCACTAGCAACGCAAATAGAATCATAAATCATGCTTGCCTCGAATAGGTATGTTCTGTTAGGATAAAGATGATGAATACTTATAAGTGGTACTTTGGTTTTTTCAATTAATCCTTTCCCTATATGTTAGAAACGGAGTTGAGTGTGTGTTCTTTATACTATACTCGTATATTTATTTTAGAATACTCTCTTCATTACTATTTTCTATTTTTACCGATCATAATAACAATTTATAAATATGCAATACGCTTAATTTCCGAGTTACCTTCATAGATCTCGTATGCTACAATGTTTCCATTTTTCTCCAGGGGTTCTTTCCAGATGAGTTCAACTTTACAGGAAGTCACTGACTGTATCTCAAGTTCCACTGGAGCTGATGGCGCTAGTAGAAATTGAAAATTGAGAATGTTGATGCGATTGAAAAGTCTAGAATAAAGCTTTAAATTACGAGCAAAATAAGGTAACTTTAATATTGTTGACACACTATAAACTTGTCATACTTGATTCTGGAGTCTTAATGCAGGCTATTTCACTGAAGGGGCTTTCATCTCCCTCACTGATCAACTTTAATCTAAATTCATACTGAGTATCCGGTTTTAACTTGCTGAGAGTAAATGTCCGATCCTCACCAACATAAACACTTTGATCTCCTAGATAGCCAAAAAAGAAAGTGATGATATACAGTATTTGAAAAGGGTAATGATATTAGATTTCATGACATAGAAAAAGAGAATCAGCTTATTGAAATAGGCCAGTTTACCTTGCTGAAGTTTATATTTTACAGGAAGGCCATTATATTGCACGGTTTCATTCCATGTTATAATAATTGCATCCTCTCCATTACCTATTTCGTGTGAGAAAGTACAAGAGCATTAGCTGCACTAATCTTTCCATGATCCTGTAACGATTTCATAACTAAATATACTTGTCATATAATTATGCATGATTATATGGAATCAGAAAGAATAGCTGTAGTTCATTACGCACACCATTGAAATTCTCTAGTACAGAAATTATCTAGAGAGCAATTAATTGAAGTGATATCAAGTTGATTTACTTCGAGACTTTAGATTTTACCTAGGATAGTAGTATTATTACCATAGTTTAATTTAGCCTAATTTGCTTTCGTGAGTACTTTAGATTACATTGTAGAGCAATTTAATCCGTAACTAAATATAATATAGTACTTATTTTCAAATTCTATAAGTCTAGTACGGTAATGGTATAAACTGTTATAACTGGTTACCAGTATCACACTAACTGTTTTGAGCTTTAAAGCTCATTTATGTATAGAGCGAAAAATTACTGTATAAACAGAGGCAAAACAGTTACAGTGTTCTTATAATTCTACATATTTAGTCAGTTTCTTCATGAACGATTAAGTGTAAAAGACCGAAGAGTACCGCACACAAAATGTGCCTTAAAATGAATGCAAACCTTGCAAGACAGGAGGTGGTGGCTTCTGTAATCTTTCCAACAACTTCAAGGCCTCTTCTAATTCAGCCTTGATATCGCTACTTACAAATTTCTTTTGCAATACTTCCTATAATTGAAAAGTAGGTAAGAGCGATTTCAGAATATGTTGATTAATTTATGAGTTATTAGAGAGGGCCATTAGCCGCACAGTTCTTATTAACGACCAGAATTACTGTACCTGTATTGATTTAACAATGGTACTATTTTTCCTTAATTGTAAAAGTCCATCTTTACGTGAGGCAAGCGTTCTTAAGGTCCTAGGATATTATAGGACAAATTAACAATTGATACATATTTACGAATAATATTTTAAAAATTATTTAGCTAGGTAGAAACATAACTTGACCAATATGGAAAGTGAAAGTTTACTTACATAGCAGCAAACCATCCAGTTTCTGCATCGTTAGTATTTAATAAATTAACCAATTGAATAAAAATAAAGGCAGCATGCTTGCTGTGGACAGTCTGGTCATGACCGTCTTCACTAGCAGCTAAACAACTAACTGCGTAACAAGCATTTTTGCCAGAACCCAGATCAGGACAAGCTAACATTTCAGCTAATGATGATAGCTATGAAAATATTGAATTACCGATAGAGAACAGGTTAGTAACTACAAATATATTCTAGTTATTCAAGTAATGGTGAATTGACAACGTAAGAAATTCGGAAAATTTAAAACATCCATTACTATACGTACCATTTTTGGGCTATTATCAAGAGCTAATAGCTTAGATCTAGACTCCTTAATATCGCACATTCTACCAACAGCAAAGGCTGCATTCATACCTCTTCCTAAAATTGAAATACCAGTGGAATATATCAGTCATGGATTGACTCTAAGAATTACAAGGTAGTGAGTATCTTGAATTCATTTAAATTCAATTCATTTATATACCTGCTTTATCAGCACCTAAGGCCTCTATTAATTCGCTTAATATGCGATCTGAATCGCGATGATTAATTATAACTTTGCAACCTACTTCTGAAATCGTCAGTCTACGCAAATTAAATTATTCGTTAACTTTGTATATATATACACTCAAGGCAATACACTTACTTCCTTAATCCATTACTCTATTACATGTATAATTTAAATGCGAGATAGATGAGGAGGATATATATACCTTGCTAAAACAAGGGCAGCATTATTTGCTATCCACAAATTTCTAGAAGATAGGAGATTGGTTATTGAGCTGATAGTATGAGAAATTATATCCTGGTTCACTATCCAGTTACGACCTTCTGAACTTTCAGCCTGTAATGGAATATAAATAAGTGTAGATTCACTGTTAGAAAATATCGCTCAAAAAAATTATAACGGCATAAAATTTTTAATCAATGTCCTTATTATAGTGACGTAGTCACTTTGGTCAAGTTCTAGAAATATATTTACAAAATTATATTATTATATTGTCATTTGCACTCTCTCGCCGTGGTATATAAATTGCTAGTTGTGTATTTGTTAATAGAAGAATGAAGATTAATCCCTCACTATCTTAACGGTAGTTAACTATTACAAATGCTAATTCGCTTAAGTTATCGTATTCTATACGGTCTTTAATTAGAATTTAAGCTACAGTATCTTCAATAATTCGATATAACTATACAGCACTCTATACTATAATGTACACTTTACGGTAATTTTATAAGAAGTACAATAATAAGTAAATTAACTTGCTATTGTATTAAATTCTCCTATAATCTATGATGACATTTCTAACGACATAATGGAGTGAAGAATGCAATAGGATAAAATTCATATACTGCATTACAACCACATAACTTTACGTAATTATAATATTGTTGTAATAATAAATGTGTTATCATTAACACGTCAGCTTTCTATGCTCCCTTAAAATATCACAAGTTAAGAGATAAAGTACAAGGTATTTGCCATTTTCCTGGCCATCTAACACTTTGAAACAGCAATTGCGACCGATTACTGTAATATTTATCTAGTAAAAGAAGTAAATATAACAATAATAAAGGTTTATTTTCATTGTTATTGATTTACCAAAGTTCCTAGGGTGCCGGCAGCGTTAATAATGGTCTCATCGTCATCCGCAAGCATCATAGAGGTTAAATTCTTTAATGCATTTTTGATGGCACCTTTAGACGAATTTAACAACAAATTCATAATTTCATGTCGATAAACTTCACTTTCAGCCAAGGTACCGATAATATAAGATGCATTCCCAGCTAACCTACTCAAAAAAAATAATCAGAATATGTAGTAACACTGTTTGTTAACTCAGTTGATTTGGGTTTAATAACAAAGGTGATTTTGTTAACAAGGAAACCGTTTATTCTTCTTGCGATAAAAAAGTTATTACTTGTGTATGTTTTAAGTAGGCTGAATAATGGCTGAGATGAAACAGCTTTTATGTTCGTATATACTGTTTAAACTACGTGTATATATATAAGTAGGATAGGTTTACGAAAAAGGTAAGTTTGGTGTTACCGCTTATAAGTACAATCATAGTTTTATGATTTTAACTCTAAGAGATAATCTAAATTTCATTCCTTCTACAACAACACTCCTACTTCTTTGATCATATATTATAATGTATCACGACAATTTTAGGATTTGAGCGATAGAAATTACAGATCTTTCAAAATATTGAAATCGATTCTGTCCTATTATAGTAGTTATTATAGGTAGAATATCGGTAAATAAAGAATGATAACCATCAGCCAGTGAAGAAGAATAAACATTAATTAGTATGAGAAAGATCAATATTTTATAGGCCAATCGTTTTGTTTTAAAGCTATCTATCTCTTTAAGGAGAAAAAATAATGCCAGATAGCGTCAAAATAGATTGATTTAAAGGGTTACGTAAAGCGTAGAAAGTGTTTGATACGGCTGTGTATGAAAATGGAATATAGTAGTTAATTCATTTTTAAAAGATTCTATTTCAGATTAAGCGAAATACGATATGAACATTCTTAAGCGATAAAATGATAAAAGCTGATGAAGTTTTATAGAATATAGGTAACGATAGATTGGGAAAATTCATAAGACTCTAATGAAGTTTAAGTAAGACTTGGTTGATACTGTCATGGCATAGCTTCTGCCCATATCGTGTTACAGGACTACATCAACATCGTCAATAGTTTTCAGTATCGCCAACCCTTCTACTCAGAGAGTCCAATAACAGACAATCACAATAACTGCAATTTGTTTAGTTTTAATTTTACTAATAAACTAGGAGTAAGTTTTACTTTAAAGATGCAGATTACTATAACGAAATGACGGCTAGACTTGGTTATTGCATCTACTATTTATAAAAATCGATTCCTTATTGATAGAATGTAATAGTAGCAATAACTTCCTTGTTCTAAGATATCGCATTACAAAAATTGAAAGTTAGGATCTTAACACTAGCTTACCTTGGCCTTAGTGATTGCAGTAATTTAAATAAGCCCAGTAAAATTTTGGATTTGTTGCTTACATTATTGAAATAGGATGTACAAATGTCCTTCTTAATGTGAACATCGTCAACTAAACGCTGAAGGATAGCAGCTACCTTTTCTTCATCTCCTTGAGTAATAAAATGTTGTAAATCGTCTAGATTCACACGATTAAATCTCATATTATACATTCCACTTTATAATCATAATTTTGTTACAGTCTTGCGGGAATAATTGATAAGAGTGATTATCATGGAACAACAATCTTTTCCCTGATTTATAGGCTATTCTGGCTTGAAATTCATTTACCCATACAATTAATAGCAATTCAATATCAGTAATGATGAGGTCCGTAAATACTACGCTATCATTGATTAATTATTAACGGACTATAGTTGAAAGTCAAAATAAGTAGGAGAAAGTTACAATAGACTATATTCTACGTAGTACACGTAGATTATACCCCGTAGATCGGTTGCTACGCATTACAAAACACACTATAGGAATATAGAGTGCATTGATACTATCGATGCAATATTTCTATATCGCTGCGGTACGCCTTCGCAATTGGCAATAATAGTTATTATAATTATCAACCTTCATTCTCTACTACTGTTGACTGATAGCCTAAATTAAGACTGTAAATACTGCACATAACGAACATTATGATAGAGTACTGCATATAGCCAAGATAGAAGTCTACGTTAATGAAACAGTAATCGGTTAACTGGAAAGACTTTGTTATTCCGATTAAGAATGGAATAAAAATCAACTACAATTTAAATAACCGTTCTTTGATGATGAAAATTACAATAGTAATGAAGGACTTAATCCATGTGATGAATGGAATGATGATATTGTCTTTTTTCACGATCTGCTATTCAAATGACAATTTCGATTTAAGTGTAGGAGATAAGACAATGGAGAAGGAAAATGACTACCAATCATCTTTAGTACTGCATATCAAAAATTGATGTGGGTAATTGCCTCTTGTTATGTAAATTTGTACCATTTGGTTGGGATTGTCCTGTTAGAAGTCAATACTGTTAGTATTGTCTTCTTTTCGTCTGTCATTGAGATTGAAGATATCAATTGGGTTGCTAAGCAATTATGGGACGCTGTTGTGCTGCTGCAATAAAGAATAAAATGGTACATCGTTGTCGAAGAATGTTTTGAAATATAATGATATCATTGTTGCTGGCATTAGTACACTTGGGATGTACTGTGTTCAACTTGGTCTATCAATGAAACAGTTTTAGGATTCAATGCGAAATTTCTATGCTTTGTACGAGTTGGGTCAAGAGTAGACTGCAGAGACTGCAAGAAATGATGTAGTAAAATGTGCAAATACGGTAGTAGATACGCGTAGAGTACGCACAAATCCAGCACGTATAATAACGAGTGTGGCTTCCACTAGTATTCTCGAAACCGGTAGAGTATTTACAGTATGTTTACGCGCCACTACTAGGTATCGCTATTTACCAGATAAATGAACGAGATGTACTGATATAATATATTTATTTTTAGCTTAAAGACGTAAATGAAGCGAAAATTGAAACTAAACTACACTAAACCATAGATTACATGGCTAAGCTTGAAGAATTGAATTTGAAATTTTGATATTTTAATATCGGTCGTCGGGAATCTGTAGTCGTCATATATTATTATACTGTAGACGTGATAGAGCGGACTGAGCTAATGTATAAATTGGTGATATATTTTCTAAGCGAACCATTTAAAATATATACCATGGACTATATGGCTAAACTTGAAGAATTGAATTTGAAATTTAGATATTTTAATATCGGTCGTCGGGAATCTGTAGTCACCATGTATTATTATACTGTAGACGTGATAGAGCGGTCTGAGTTAGCGTATGAATTGATGATACATACATTTTATAAAGAATATAAGCGAACCACTTCAAATATATACTCATAGACAGTACATTAGACTTGATAGAACGGTCTGAGCTACCGTAGGGAGTTGATTTGGGATGGAACGGGATGGGACATAGTTCATTAGACGTTGTAGACCTCTGCTGTGAATATAAATCGAGAATACTGAGTGATGTATTTTACAAGCGAACTTTTATGTACTCTACTATAAAAAGGACAGTACTAGAGGAAGCCCTAAAAGGGCCCCCTGCCACGAGCTATCATAGTACAGTACAACGTGATTCATAGCTCTTTTACGGAAATTGGCAATTATTCATTCAGTGAATGTTTACATGGTCTACTACAATAAAATAATTCTAATAGTCCATGATGTATGTAATTAAATTAGACATCATTACGGTTAAGTTCATATCACTTCTAAACCATAACGACAAGAGCTATTAGGCTGTATGCCATGTTGTAGAAGGCGTATGCTAATGAACTACAATCATCGAGTCTACAGTATGACTACAGTACTGTATACTGTAGTCGTCAGTATACTGTACTGTACAGTCTACGCGGTAATACTGTAGCGGAAAGTTCACAAACTGGCCTAATGTGCTGCATCAAACCTTCCCGCATCTTCTCGCAAAGTATTTCTATTTGATATTATTTACTCTTTATTTATTTAAAGTACAGCATGAAGGAGGCAAGAGAGACTGTTTGAGCATAGCATGTCAGTACTACAGTAAAAGTATATTAAGCAGTGAAATCATTGATTTCTATACATGCTGATCTGTGATCTGAATTTGAATATCTCATGTTATACTCGTAATGAAGTCATTAAATACTTCAAAACTATTGTAACATTTCCATCTTTCAAAATAATATAGGTATGGCTAAAAGTAGAAATTCCTTCAAAGTTTGCCATTAGGTAAGAAGTTCATAGGTTATTACACTGCAATATTTTACGTATTACGATGTAGAAAGTCAACGTTGCTTTATCTTGACACTACAAACTTTTGCTAAGATCAGCATATTACAACAGAGTATAATTACATTCTTGCCTTGCCTTCTCGATATAGATTGAAACATTGCTAAAATCAGTAAAGCACACACTGCTTAGTTTACTTTAAGTCAGCTATAGCTACTGCAAGTATAGGGCGTATATTATTTTATATCCTTACCGAACTCTATCACGATTTCATGTCATTTAGATCGATATTCGGCACAGGGGCTCCTTTTCCAGGCGTGTTAGGAGTATATTACGACGGGATTGACACCTACCAAAGGCGTTTTTGGCAAATTAATGTACAGTTCTAATCAGATGACAACATGTCATTAAGTGCTCTTTACGATTATCATACTGTGCTTGCCATGGGGATAGCGGTATTATGCTTGGCACATATGTTATCCAGTACTTGCCGCTTTTATGTCAGGCTTGTAACGTATCATGCAGTTATTTTCATGTGTGCTGCGTATTTAATTTTATTGGCTTGCATCAAACCTGGCAACATCAATAACTACTTCTTAGCTAAATATTGTGGAGTACCACTGTTCTGGTTGGTCAGCCCTATCTTACAAGTCGGTGTTCGCGTACGTGGTCTAGAACACCTCTACAAATGCTCCAGTCCGTATATAATAGCGTGCAATCACCAAAGCTCGCTGGACTTATATCCATTATTCCGAATTCTTCCACCTAGAACCGTTACATTAGCGAAGAAAGCTTTACTTTATGTGCCGGTATTTGGCCAAGCTGCATGGCTAATACAAACAGTATTCATTGATCGAAAAGACCATGATACTACCATGCAAACATTTAACAAGGTCATCGATGACATGAAAAAGAAAAAGGTAACGTAATATATAATTGTATAGGTTACTCCAAACTTAATGCATCTAATCAATTGCTATCTAAACATGTTAACGTGTTTCTGTATGTTAATGTGATGTAATTGAGGCAGAATAATATCTTCAAGTAGCAACAGTATTATAACATGAATCTAATGTTGTCTTATAAAAATCCAGTTCAATCTATGGGTATTCCCAGAAGGTACAAGAAACTTCAAGCATGACGGTTTACTGCCGTTTAAGAAAGGGGCTTTTCATCTAGCTGTTAAGGCTCAGGTAACAGTGATGGTTATACACTATATGATCCTTATATTGATAATGTGATTGTATAAAATTCAGATAGTATAGTCGTATAGGTATTAATCAAGAAAATTGTCAAAAGCATCAGGTCATATAAAAAATAGAGACCGTACCCTATCAGCGTATATTGCATTAGCTTTTATGATATTAAACGGTAACAACTCTTTACACTTTATATTCACATTCGTCTTTATATTTAAAAGAAATAATATATCTACGTTACCAACTTAATTTACTAGCGTCCTACGACAAATATGTGTAGATGTTAGAGTATGAACCATGCATTTTCATTGACAGGCTCAACATATTGAATGGCAGCTGATATACGTATATTGTAGCTAGTGGGAGTACTGTATAAGCTAGTGCATACAGTTCAAAATTTAGACGAACAATTACCTTTGGTAGCTTGATATTGAATAGTCAACGTAAGCTAAGCACGTAGTGGCTACGACCAACTTTAATAATAGTACGATATTGACAAACTGACTAAATTAGATACCGTATGTAATCGTATTTGTGTTTCTTGATAGTCTTTATGATTCTTCGATAAACGACTTATTTGAAAGTTACTAAGTTAAGAAATTAATTTTACCTGTTCTTCCTTATGCATTATATGTACAATGCGTGCTTTGGCAGATTCCTATAATACCTATTGTTATAGCTCCATATAGTGATTTTTATATCTACAATGAAAAGAAACTAGATAGAGGTAGGTCCTGTTGGAAACTTTCGCATTGACAATAGTAGCACTATATTTGTGTACTAATTGATCATTTGCCTCCGTGAAATTGAATTTTTGTTTTGAAGCTGCATCATTTCTATTTCTTTACATTTAGTGTGTGATATGTACATAACAGTAATGGAACCTATCGAAACAAAGGATCTAACTAGCGATGATGTTACTAGATTAGCGGAAGATACTCGAGAAAAAATGTTGAAAGTGCGAGGCGAAAAGAGAATGTGAGTACCATGGATTGTATTATTATCGTATATGAGTATGTATTAGCTATCGGGCTTTTTCATATGGTATAACAATATTCCTTTAAGATACAAAGTCAAATATGTGGATAGTATAGTTAACTGTTAAATTTTATAGTACATACTAATTGTCATCGTCTTTCAAATGATTGCAGAGCTTCGGATTACATACCGTTATTGTAATAAAGGAACAGTTCCTAAATGAATACATTGCTGGTACTATGTATGTACACTTAAAAGCAATTACATTAGGTGATGTAAATTATATTTTATTACCAATTTGCATCTAACTTTTTAACTGAAGATTGTTTTATCAATACGAATTACCGTAGTTGCTATTTCGTAAAGCTTATCTTTACCCCTAGCTTTCAACTTTTAACAATATCATATTTTTAAATTTTGATGAATCAGATATCAATTTTATGTCAACGCTAAAGATTTTCAGTCTGATTTAAATTGAATAGAATTTTTATTTTTGTGCTTGATGAATCAGAAATTAATGGCGATTTTATTTTGTTCTGTAATTGTACTATAATATAATTACGGGCAATACAGGAAATAAATTCTGACCCTTGGGTTGTTAATATTACCCCATTTGTACGCTATTTGACTGTCGTAGAATATTGCAAATATATTGAGATTGTGCTTTGCCATGATCTAGCAAATTCATCTAGTAATCGAGATTTCTTAACACATACGGCGTTTTAGCATAGAATCTTTTTGTATATTTATATATGCAGTATTGTATAGAGTGATTCCAGAAATTTAATTTAATTTATAGGATTCTGCCAGTTACTGAATAGAATTTAACAGTCGTAAATTCGCGATTATTTTTTAAGCTGTTGATACTTTTTCATTGTTACTTGTATGCCACATTAGAAATCTCCGGATAGATATTTCACTCACCTCAGTTGGAGATACGGATCTACGTTACGTTGCTATACATATAAATATGTAATAACGTACGTTTGCTGAGCGTAATGCAACTTAGCAAAGTTTTTACAGCTTTTTCTTACAAATTCTATTTGCATTATTAAAATATTTTCACTTCAAATTATTAATTCAGCATATTATATCAATAACACGGCGCGTAGTGTATGGTATCTACATTTAGTAAGCTATTACAGTAACTGCTCTGAAACAATAGTAACGCATATAAATCAGGTTAAATAATGATGCTTACTCTGGGCCAAGTCCGAGATCGTATAAATGTACAAGCTGATATGATCTTCGGAAGTAGTAGCAAAACAGTATAATTCCGCAGGTACGTTCTACCTATACCTGGATGATACGGTACTGTTACATCGAGTGGAATGTATTCTAGTATTAATAGTAGTGTGCTCTACAACATTAGACATTCCTCTTACAGAGACTACATAAAGTTGGTAATTGCTGCATTATTACGCGACATAAAAGACTATCTGAAGTTTAACGGTAGTTCATAAGTCGTTATTCGTACATTGTAAGTATATACGAAATTACGGTACGAACGTAAGCAAGAATAACCAGGCTTGAAGATATTTTAGTTGAATAATTTTCTTATCTTAAATATGTATTTATTTATATACGGATGTTTGTTTTTATTTTTTTGTCCGATATAAATATTGTTTATCATTCATCATAATTATTTGCCAGTTCAGAAAGGCGAATTCTTAATTATAGTACTCAATTCCATAGTCTTGGCTTTGTTATTCTTTAATTCTGATACCAGAATTTAGCCGTAGACCAATTGTACTAGGAATTTCTATGCATTGAGATCGTTTGATATATGATTTCAATCCCTTACAGTTAGTTATTTTTAAGAAATCTTTATAAATATTTATGGCACCTTTCATTCGTTTATGGTTAAGATCTTGTACGATTGACTAAGCTGCATGCATACTACGTATCTAAAAATAACATTTGATTTGAAGTCGATTTTATTTTATATTATACATTATGGGCTACTAGGAAAAGGCATGAGTTGATTTAATTTGCAGGTATGGTAATATAATTGTTAATCGATATTCATCTTATACCTTTGATTTATCGATCGGTTAGCAAGCGTTTCATTAGGTACTCTTTAAGTTAAATTAAAAGGGGAAAAAGAATATTTTATAGCTTTTAAGATACTTAATACCCAGTTTTTTGTTCATAGCAAATTGAAATGATTTCAAAGCCTAAATGCTAATTCAAGTCATTATTGTCGTAACCAGCTACTGTATGTGTATAACCCGTCTACAATGCGGTAAGATTGCAAGATGAAAATTGATTCCTATAAGTCAATCATTTTTAGTAAGGACGGCCATGCGTCGGTACTATTAGCTAGGTCCTTTACAAGGCAGCTCTGGTTAATTTCTTATTGCAACCTATATTTCATTATGCAATACCCCAATAGAGTATATTAAAGTGATGATGTTTGTAGAGCACTCATCTACTCCAATTTCTTCGAAAATTTAGTAATAACTTCAGTGTGATTATAATTAGTGAAGAGTCGAAATTGTTGAAAATCAACTACAGTACAGCAATTATGATAATAATAAATAATGTGCAATGGAAGAATTAATGCAATTATTTTGGATAAATTAACTGTAATTTCTGTAAATAACGGTAGCTTGATTTACATCTAGCTGGATCCGAATTGCATATCCAGCTCTAAGCGATATACTGTAGAGCATTATATTTATAGGTGTACAATAGAGTAAATGCTCGTCCTAGTGTGTTGGGGGAAAAGCTTAACTTAGCTCACTGTACAGTACACGTTATTAGTTCTCAGATGCATATTTTTAAATAATATTTGGTGTAGGTCATCCAATAAGAAAGAATAAAGTAGGAAAAAATAGGAAGCCTAATTTTTCAGCTCCATGCACTATACATGTAATTTTTTTGTGCTCACTTTAATTAATTACTCCAGTGCTGTGTATAATATCGCATTCCCATTTAAAGCTGTGTAAGAATCGCACTTGATGACACTGTACTGTACTTGAGTCAAGGACTACTAAATTGCGGTGCATCTAATAGTCCATGACTCATAATATGGGCCATACTCTCTTCACGATCTCCATGACTCATAATATCAGCCATACTGTCTTCGCTATCTCCATGACTCATAATATAAGCGATACTATCTTCACTATCTCTATGACTCATAATATAAACCATACTATCTTCGGTATGCCTCGTTTAGAACATCGAGGTAAACAGAGATTTTACGTTTACCTCTATGTTGACACTTGAAGGGAATTGTAGAATTTCCCTCTTAAGAAATCGTGGACACTGTCCAATATATATATACATTATACAGAACGGTAAATGAACGTCTAGATCACCTGATGTTGCAGTGTTTCACGGTATAGTGTACAGTGGATGGATTCAGCAATATAGCAACATTAACGTACTTTACAATATAGGAGGGAGAAAAAGGTGATCAAATAGACAAATATTCTGCTCCCTATTCCTATTTAATATAAAAATGAAACAAAAATAATGTCACCCTTTTAGACTGCATCGGACATCAATTGGCTATAACAATTTTTGTTCCAATTGTATCAGGTTGTATATAGGAGAGAGAAAAAGGTAATCAAATAGACAAATATTCTGCTCCCTATTCCTATTTAATATAAAAATGAAACAAAAATAATGTCACCCTTGCAGAATGCATTGGACATCAATTAGCTATAACAATTTTTGTTCCAATTGTATCAGATTGTATCCTATATTGTTTACTGTTTGCATTGCATTGCTGATACTGATCATAGTGTTTCGCTGTCTAGTTTAATTCTATCAATTCGATGAGACGGCCTAAAGTCGAAACGTCTAAACTGTTGATCAAAATCCCAATTTGACCGTAAAAAGTTTACAAGCTGGACGCACAGATATTTACAATTGGGTTTACTATCTCGAAAGGAGCTGCTTAATACTTGCGATTAGTATGGGCGATAGTAATTTCTACTACGTAGCCGTAACTATTTTGCTAATTGTTACAGCAATGTATTGGCTATCCAGCGCAGTACGTTTTTACGTCAGACTCGGATGTTTTACCCTAATCGTTATAATTCTAGCCAATGTTGTATCGATCATCGCTCTAGTATATCCCCGTAATTTAAACAGTTATTATATATCAAAGTTCTTTGGTATTCCGTTATTGTGGTTACTTAAACCAATATTAAATATAAAGGTTAAGGCTCGCGGTTTGCAACATTTCAAGCAATGTCAAAGCCCTTATATAATCGTTTGCAACCATCAAAGTTCGCTAGATCTTTATCCATTGCTTCGAATTGTTCCACCAAAAACGGTTGCTGTAGCTAAGAAAGAATTACTCTATACACCAATAATCGGACAAGCAGCATGGCTTACCCATACCGTTTTCGTTGATCGTGGAGATCACGCCAGTGCTGTAGAAACTCTAAATAAAGTTATACAAGAAATGAAAAAGAAATCGGTCAGTAAATATTGAATATCGTTTTAGATTCGTAGTAGATTAGGCCCAGTTTGCAGTCCAACTCTTTCTGGATGCTAACGAAATTGCTTAAATTGTATTTATAATACGTTAGCAAAAAGATGACTAAAAAATATGTGCTATTTTATACAGTTTAATTTATGGGTATTCCCAGAAGGGAAGAGAAATCAAACTGGTAAAGGAATGTTACCGTTTAAAAAAGGAGCTTTTCACATAGCTCTTAGAGCACAGGTACTATACAACGCTAAATATGTATGTACTCTATTTCACTTCACTGCAAATGTTTTACAGTCTTATAGTAATAGCGCATTGATGGCAATTCTGCAGAACCATCCTTTACAGTGCTGTACAGGAAATGACTTATTGATAGTGAGCCATAATTATATAGGGTGTACGAGTAGCATAGTACTGTATATATAGTTAATTCGTTGTAACGAGTAGAAATCGTTAACAAACGGCGATAAAGGCATTGCGCTACTCATGATTGATGAATAAAGTTGCCTTTTTAATGTGTGGTTTGGCCTATGCAACAGATACCTATTGTGCCCGTTGTAATTCGACCTTATGAGCAATTCTATAATCGAAAGGAAAAGAAGTTGAGACGAGGTTAAGTGTAATCAGTATCTGTATGTCATACATCTTTATATAGTACATGTAAGATTTTGTTACCCTGTATGATTCTAGTACATACTTGTTGATTTATGATTTGTATGGACTATAAAAGTCTCATTATAATTATTAGTTATAATTTAAAGTGCTGTGTATCTATTAATATCCACAAAATAGAAGGTAACATGTATGTGACGGTCTTGGATCCAATCGACACGGAAGGATTAAGCTTAGATGATACTGGAAGTCTGGCCGAAAGTACGCGACAAAAGATGCTGGAAGTCCTACAAGAATCAGATGATAATATGTAAGTGACACCATGCAGGAATATTCACATTGACGAATGTGCTAAATAGTTCAGAAACTGATATTAAATCCTTCGATAATTTTCTAGACATGCCGAATATGAAACATTGCTATAAATGCAATTCAATTCACATGATTCAGTGCTATTTAAGAGCGAAAATTAACCTAGTCATGGCTTAATAATACAACTTGAACCAGGATGGCTTGCATGGAAATAATATGAATCCGTTCTATTTGGATAAAATTGAAATTTATAACTTTGGAGATGTTAAGTTATACTAAAATTGAATTATCATGTTCGTGATTGACAGTTCTAATATGCAAATTTTGTTTTATAATAATGATTAATCTGTGTCAAAATTTCTTTCATAAGCTATGATACCTGGCTAGAATGTATAAATTAAGCCAAAAATTAGGAATAATAGTACTGCTCTTTCGTTATTTTCGCTAATATAATAACGTTTGTAAAGCATGGATTAAGTTATTTTCAATTGCTGGGCTGTAATTAGATTTTAATTTTGTTCTAATAAGTCTGTATTAATTGACTATATTATTGATGGGTGGTATAGTTTTATTGCTTTGCATGGAACAGCAGACCATTACAATGAACGCTACGGAGTTATAGTTTTATATAGAATCTGTAGTGTGTGAATTCTCATATAACCGTGCTGGTAAATCATTTTAGGTCGTAAAATTTTCAAAATTGCAAGTATTGTTTTTATGCGCCGAAGTTTATGCAGCAATCATTGTAAATAGGATATAGAATTGTTATAATGTTCTAGCTTTAGATGATGCTCTCTGCATACTAATTATATATTGATAAGCATAAAATAAAAACTGAATTGGATGCTTTCAGAGTCCGGAAATGAACACAGTGTATTATTATGCAGGAAAGTGGGATAATAATAATAATTGAAATTTTAAGCAAGTCTCATGGTTAAAATCATACAAAACGATTAATTCTTAGTATATAGTGTACAGTATAACGCGTTCAATTATGTGAATATCTACAATATTATATCCTGCTCGAATGATACAACACAGACTTGCTGCATGCTGAACACCGGAACTAGCCTGGGGAGAATTTAGCAATCTATTAATTAGCAATGTCACATAAAGGTACTGTATTTGTGATAGTATAATGTTCAACATCGTACGTGTACTACTGTTGAATAGAATCCGCGAATAGTGATCATAATTCCATGTAAACTACTGCAGTACTTTAATGGCATTAATGGAGCAATTTCATTCCTACAGCTAAAATTTGAATACTGTTACAATGCACCAGTAATCAAACTAAATTAGATACTCCCGATTTTGGCCTCTAAGTAAGTACAGAAAGGGACTACTCTGCTGATAAATTCACAATGAAACAACAAAAAGGCAGGTAGAACCTTTCTATAAAGCAAAATCATAAATATTGTCCAGCATTTGCTTGATAGCATATAGATGATTTCATACAGATCGAATTGCTACGGAATTATAGATTTCCAAATCCAGAACATTGTATTGCTTACAGTATGATACCGTGAAACAGAGTAAGAAAGTATAGTACTTTTAAGGGATTAATGCCTAAGGGGCAATGCTCATATTGTCACCTCTCACCATCCCAGTAGTTTGAGCTATAATGTAGACTTGTATAGGAAGGGTAGTTTGTTTCCAGTGCCGGCGACTTTAAATCCAGATTTGGCACCTCTAGGGAATATTATATAGCAATCGGTTCTTAAACTTCTGATGGTTACTTTCAGAATGATTGAACTTTACCAAATATTATACTCTACTGTTTATGCATACAGGTAGAACTACAGAATGACCTTGCTAACGTACAAGACAGTAATCCGACAGTAAGTTTAGACGCTTGAGTCCAGGTCGCATAAAAGTTTAAAAGTTTTTACCATAAATTGGCCTGACTGTAAGTTTAAGCATCCAAAATTCGTTATGTCGGCATTACCGAAGCAAATTTTCCATCGATTGCAAGATGATAAGGAGATAGAAATTACTATTAACAAGTTCAAAAATGTAACGGATTATGGCGGACAAAGAATATTGGATATCCTGTTGATATGCTCGCAGCGTTTTAAAGAGGAACGTTTCGAGAGTTGTTTACAACTAGCCCAATGTGTTCTTGATATTGTCTGGGAAATGCTCAATACTGGTGATTGGAAGGAAGTACCTGTGATATGGAGAAAGGTTTATACTTATGGAGCAATTTATAAAGCTGCAGCCTACTATGCTATGGGAAAGTTGGAACAGTGCATACATGCTTCAGATTATGGCCTGCTTATGGGTGCTCCGATATTAGATAATATCTTGAACGATATTATATCAGCAGCCGCCGCACGCATACATCCATGCAAACAGACTACGAGCATTGATGACGCTCTTGCTAATGCTGGTGATCATCACCGTAATGACGATAGTGATGATGTAAATATGATGCATTTAACTTAGAATATACCAATCGTTTCGAGTATAAGTTATACTACTTTTGTTGTTGTCCTATAATTAATGAAATTGACTTCATTTCGACTTTAAGAATATCTGATGCATCGTGGGATATTGTGTTTATTGGAATTTCTTCTGTTAGCTACTAATTCTGCTAACCTCAATTTCTGTTGACGCAGAGTTATTTAGATCGATATAAAAGGAGGAAGCACGTTGCAGTCGATCCTCAAAGGCAAATTACACAATTAAGTTGTCCTTCATTGGACTACTTTAGAAAACATTATTTCTGTACGAAGGAGCCTGTAATACTAACTGATGTTATTGATCATTGGCCAGCTTTAGGAGCTAGAAGATGGAGGTAAAGAATCCAAACAGTTATTTTTATAGAGTTTAAAGTAAATGCTCTATAACCATAGAAATTTTTTATTTCTAAATGGCAATATTAAGCATACAACGCTTAAAAGATATTGCTGGCCATAGGACAGTGCCAATTGAAATCGGAACTAGATATACTGACGATAGTTGGACGCAAAAGCTGATGCCATTATCTAAGTTTATCGATGAGTTCATTACTATGGTTTGTAATTGTTTTAAAAATTTTCGCTCTAGTAGCAATAATTTATTGATATAGTATAGGGTATCTTTTCTGATAATAAAACATTAAGATGTTAATTATTTCAACAAAATCAACATATGTAGGAATCCAATCAGGAATCCGGTTATCTTGCACAACATCAACTTTTTGAACAGGTCGTCACAAAAATATTCAATAAATTTCAATTTACAGTACTTAGCATATTTAAACATATCATTAAAGCACTAGACTATGCCATCAACTTGCGTTTATTGCTCTATATATTATTGGATTATTACTGGGCTAATTGATTGATTTTAATCTACTAGTAATATTTATTCTATACTTCAAACACGAAATAGGATCTACTAATTTCTATATCTTCTACTTGAACACTATTTAATGCTAAGTTACCAAAAATTGTTTCTTATAAATTCATATCTATGACTAAGCGCAGATTCCAGAACTAAGAACAGACATCTGTGTTCCAGATTATTGTTGCATTATTGACGACAACAACGACGACGTAGATGCAACAGTTTTAACAAATGCTTGGTTTGGGCCTCAAGGCACAATTTCTCCGCTTCATCATGATCCATATCATAATTTATTCGCTCAGGTTATTCCATTTTTTTGCTCTTTATTGTATTTACGTAGATGGCAGCTGTGACTAAGCTATGTCATTAATTTATTCTACTCGTATACGTGTAGTTATTGCAGTTACTTTATAATTTTTGTGCTGTTACTGATGAAGATATATGCGCATTGATAGGTTATGGGTAGAAAGTACATACGTTTGTATCCTGAGCATGAATCTGAGAATGTGTATCCATATCCTACTAAGCTGTTATCAAATACTAGTCAGGTTAGACATTGATCTGCTCAAATAAAATACTTCCGATTGATTTGTAAAAAAATTTTGACTAATTAGTTACCAAACTAACTGCTAAGTATTGTATTGCAGGTGGATGTGGAATTTCCTAATTTTGAAAATTATCCGAATTTCGCGAATGCTGAGTATCTAGAATGCATCATAGAGCCAGGACAATTACTTTATATTCCGCCCCGTTGTTGGCATTATGTGCGGTCTTTGGATATTAGTTTTTCTGTTAGTTTTTGGTGGTGACAAACAATATTTGGTTCTTTTTGTCCTAAAAATGTGTTATGAGATTATGATTATCTCGTTGGGATGTAAATACTGTATAATTCATTATTACTGAAAGAAATAAACCTGCTTTGCTATACTCGATACAACGCAATGCATACAACACTGTCACGGCAGTTGTTGTACGATATATTGATAGGAAATTGGACCCTATTGCTAATATACATCGTTTAGTATTATTATTTAAACTTAACCACAAGTTACTATTTATTGCTGGATATTGATCCCCTTTAGTAATTATGTAAAGGGTACCTTTTACCACTTGAAGAGTTTAACCATGCAAATTCTTAATGGTGAATTGCTGCAGTACTTTAAATATTACTATGCATTAGTTCAAGTACAAAAATCGAAAGTACTCAATAGTATGGACTGAAATTGCCATTACTGTGGAGTATCGAGTCGACCGATTACTTACAACACTGAAAATCGTCTGCAACTTTGTGGTTGCTGCATTATATCACAGTAACGCAACCATAAGAGTAAGAAAGTTGCATAGAAAGTGGAATGTTAAAGATAACTAATATTGACGTTTGGAAGTATTATACCACAATTTGAACTAAGCCATTTAAGCAAACTACTACACGAAGGGAAGTTCTTACTCATCGATTGTCTTTTTTATTAAGGCCCATTTGGGCAATGCATCCCTTGCAGGATTTACATCATAACAATATCAAGCACAGTTAGAAAAAACATTTTGCATTGACTGTAACGATCTAAAGCTAGAACGTTAGCAAAGTACGTAACTATAAGTACAATATATTGAAGTACAATTGTTATTGCTCTAAAATCTTCTTCATAGTTTCCATGCCTTTTTTAACTGACTGGGACTTTTCGACAGTTCCAGCAGTTGCATTAGCAGCAGCGAATTGTCGGATTTTCTGACCTTGCAAATACCTGGGAAGGACTTTCCTTGCTATGATGGCATGTAATATGTAAAGACAGAGGCAAAAGGAGGCATATTGATGCATAAAAGTTGGGACGTCCAGTTGTGGCATACCAGACTGTCTGATACTGGTTGTTTGTAAATTTCTAACCCATTGTAAATTGTCTAGCGAAAAGAAGATTGGATTGTATATCTTTTTAAGATTGCAGTAGAATGACATATGAACGATTATTATTCAATATTCATATGACAGAAAATAGGATTCTATCCAAAAAAAGAGTTAGCCCCAAAAGCTATTTATCGTAGTCAAGGTATGTATGATTTGAAATGTATTTTTTACTTTGCCTATCATGGACTGGAGCGGCTAATGATCGAATAGCGAGAGGTGCACCAGTTGAGTGATGACGCTGGGCTCCCTAATATTGAATTGAAGAGAATTTGACGGTAACAAACAGCACAAGTTGTCATTCATGATAAGATGATGGTATACAACTGTACATATAGAAAGAATAGTGAACTATCTCAAATCTGCTAGTAACGCATCTGGTTGACAGAAGACATTTTGACAACATTTGCCTTGTACTGTACCAACACCATGAACTTACATTGATTAGGCCAGCGATGCGGCCATTACGAAGGATACTGGACAGAATTCTGGAATTATATAGCTGTAATAAAATGAATCAAAAATGAATTTAGTGGTTCAAACTTGATAGCATGGAAGCATTTCACAGGTTCAATTCGTACCATGTTCTTTCGCTAGTTGATTGTAAACCAGGAAAGATAAGATGAAATATGGAAGCAAGATGGCGATTTCAATCGCAGTCCAAGCGAGTCGCAGGTTTACTTACCGTCGGCGAAAGGGGGCTACAGTGGCAATACTAGGGTTGAGTTGGCATGTCACATACAGTAGTGTAGACAGTAGTGTACTGTATGTCGTGTATCTGTTGTGGACCCAAGCTACAGTTGAAAGTCCGTTGACTACAGTACATATCACTGTAAGGTACGGTACAGTACTGTAGGGTCGGAGCTGCCGATTTCATCATTTTGGTTGTACAGTACTGAGTACAGTAGTCGTACAGTACAGTGTACTGTACAGTACTGTCCAAATTTCCAAGTCGATAAAAAGGTGCGTTGAAAATTGCCAACCGTACAGTACAGTATAATACTGTACTGTAGTACTGTAGTACTGTAGACTGGTGGTACAGTACTGTACAGTACAGTACAAGTAGTACTAGTCTACAGTACTTGGTACTAGGAGTACTACTGTAGTCTACTGGTGGTACACTGTACTGTACTAGTAAGTAGTCTACTGGTGGTTCTACTGGTGGTACTAGTAAGTAGTCTACTAGTGGTACTAGTAGTCCTAGTCTACTGGTCGTACTAGTAGCACGACACGTAGATTTGCGATCAATTTGGTACATCTATTTGGTACAAATTGATGCAAAATTGGAATATCCAATTTACTGTATCACGCCCCAGAATCTGTAATTTATGCTTGGCATACAGTACTCAAAGCAGGCAGCAGGCACTTGTTGAATGATTCATTTCTGCTGACAGTACAGTGTACAGTGTACAGTGTACAGTACACTGTACAATACAAGTACTGTACCCTATTTGGGCAGTTGCTGACATCTGACCACTGTCCAGCCACATGCCACATTCTCATTGAATACGCGACCATGTGTAGTACTGTTGACTCTTGTGCTGTACAGTACTGTATACTGTAAACCTCTTCTACTGTACACTGTAGAGCCTGAAATCACACGTGTTCCAAAATAGACTGGACACTAGACACTGTACACTCACTGAGTGAGTGTACAGTAGACAGTGACCAGTGACTGTCATCACGGTACGATACGGTACGGTACGGTACGCTTGGTCCATCTCGAGCCCGATGTCTGTACAGTACTGTACTGGATGATGCTCAATGAGGGACATCCAGTACAGTACAGTACTACTGTATGGAGACATCGAGGCTGGACCGGTTCGTACTACTATACTGTACCGTACCGTTTCGCACCGCTCGACCTGGAAGACGATGACAAATTGCCGCACTGCATTCCCACAATCTTCTTTCATCTTTTACATGCAAATGGAGTGTACATCCAAACTTCTTTTGGTTTAGCTCCAAATTCATTAATCGACGTTCTACTTATTGCGGCCACACTCTCTCCGAGGTAGCTCAAGGTGGAAAGAACTCTTTGAATGGTAAAATAATACGTTTTAGGCCGTTGGCACAAGGAAAACTTGCCATCCTAGCAGACATCCAATTGACACAAGTGCAAACCTCGCCAGACCTCCACTTACTACGGAGTCAACAGCATCCTTTCTTGTCGATTTATTGATGATTCAAAGGTACAGCAACCATTACTCTTAGTCACGTAATATTGGTAATAGCTGTAAGCGAGTTTATTGCCATTTGCTATTCATTGGACCTTTGCTACAGTGGAGACCAAGACTAGATTGAATGGTGAGTGAATGGTGCCTATAAGTTGAAAGTTGGCAAAGGTAGCGTGCAAGAGGAAAGTAAATAATAATCATCCAAAACCTGTATACTCTTGTATTGATTGAAATCCATTGGCTGAATTGGAAGGTACTATATTCAAGCTCTAACCAATCATAGTCATCAATCATTCATCTGCAAATACTGGTAAACACCGATTCATCAAGAACATGGCCATCACATCACAAGGATCACTTGTACACTCAAGGTACTGTGCTTGATTAAGCATTAACATTAGTGATTGTTGCCTTTTGCAATTCTCTACTTGACCTGACGATAGTACCCACTTTTGCACCTTATCAATCAAATGGTACAATCCCAGTTTCAAATTAAAATATGAATCAGTTACAACGAATAATTGGGCGCATCGCCAGATATTCATATAATAGCTTACCTAAAATCACCTTCAACTTGAGCAGCATCTATAATTATGATAACAATCCAAGATTGCAAGGGCATTTATTGAAATGGCAACGTTATTATGCTAACACCTTACTCAAAGAGGCTGACAACAACGATACGAATACCAAACCAAATTCATTAGCTCCCTTCGAAGATATCAAGAAATGTAAAACAGTCATTAGTGTTTTAAATCTGTTTTTTAAATATCAGTATCGATATGGTTGTAGTGATGTAATTGCTTCATTGGATCAAATTTATGCTAATGCAAGCCGTACATCCAGTTTGAGAATTGTTACCGCGCTACCAAATAATCCTAAATTTAATTTATTATGTGATTTTGCGAAACGAAAGGCTGGTCATTTCAATACAGATGAATTATTGCAATTGTTAAAATGTGCTCTAAAAATTCAATCTCTTATAGGCGACACACTCAGTGCTCAATTGGGACAGTTATCAAATCACATTATACTGACGCTAGAGCGTCGTATTGAATCCTTAACTATTTTGGATTTATTAGTTATTCTTGAATTAAAAATAGGATCAAGATTAAAACTAAAAGTGATCAATGAGCAACTTGTAAATATGCTAATACCTATTATTCATGAAGGAAAGGATGTGCAATTGTTGATGCGTAGTTTTACTGTCTTTGCTCACTATGGCATTAAATCATCAGTTGTTGGTAAACTTGAAAGCTGGATAGCCAACCACTTCAATGAACTTTCTATTGAACAAATCTGCGATGTTTGTAATGCTTTTCATCGATTAAATCGACGCTGCCCAGAACTTCGAGAAATGCTTGGACAACGTGCCGCTCATCTAGACTTAGACGGCTTATCTGAAGAGCATGTACTGTCTTTGATGAGGTCGTTTACTTATCGCCCATTAGTTGTTGAAGACCTCTTTGAAAAAATTTCAAACTATGTAATTAAAAATATCAATAATATGAGTACTTATTCTGTTAGCCAGATTGCTCGTGCTCTTTCAAGCTTACGATATTATAATAAAGATTTAGCTGATGCAATTGGACTTCACCTGACCGATAAAGGAGCACTCTATGAATTCTCGATACAATCTATTGGCGATATTTTATATGTATTTGCTAGGTGGAATCATTTACCTGAACCTGCATTATTACGAAAATTAATATCTAAAATCGAATATTACATAAAGTCTACCCCTAATATGATTATTCCACCCATTGTTACATCCATTTGGTCTTTAATTATCTTGGATACCTTTCCTCATCGAGCAATTAATGCATTGTTCAATGAAAAAATTGTTTCAGGTTAGTAGGATACGATCGTTAACCTTAATGTACGCGTAGATAATAATATTTATGGCAATACTTCGCCATGGCTCCCTTTTTACTATTATCTTTTTAATCATGGTCGTGGCTATTTTTCTGTAATTTATAGAGATTCATAGTTTTGGTACTGGTGCTATCCAAGTGCAAATGTTTCAGATTGATTTAGCCGCTAAACTGGAAAGACCTGAACTGCAATTACAAGGTTTATCCCATTCGCATAGAAACCACTTTCTGAAACCACTCAAAAAATTTTCTACAAAAGGATCTGTCTTTCAACATAATGTTCAAAGAACTTTGGAATACCTATTTGATGGATCGCACTATTATTGGAAGGAATTCAAGACTGCATATGGTTATAGTGTTGATCTTGCAATTATGACAGATTTGAACAACGTTTTACAGGAACCGAAAGTTAATGTCCTTCGCAGCAAAAATAAGTAAATATCACCTGTACAAAATGATACCCTATTAGCTAGGATGTTAGCGTTTATATTTTCTCTTATACATCTACGTAGGCCAACCCACTACAAAAGGATAGCTATTGAAGTTGATGGGCCATATCACTTTCTTCATAATTCAACAAAACTAATTGGTGAATCTAAAATGAAGCATCGGCAATTGAGACTTTTAGGTTGGACCGTTGTTCAGGTATTTTTAATGTTTATAATAGTTCTTAATTGCCCTTTCCCATTTTAAATGGAATGAATAAACTTGCGTAGGTACCATACTTTGATTGGGAAGAACTTAACACCGATGATGAACGCAAGCAATATATGAAACGGAAGATATTTGGCGATGGTCCTATGAACATTAACCGTGAGAACTAGCCATATTGGTTGCTGTTTATTTAAAATCAGAACAAATTGATTATTATAGGCAACTTTGTGCATCATTTAAATATCGAACTTGTTCTGAGCAGAATTTAGTTATTACTCTGCAGAGCATAGTTCTCCCTATATGCTATGCTACATATAATTACACTATACTTATGATTGACGTCACGAAACATGTTGAGCTGACGTTCTCTTAAAATTGCAATTTTATTGGCTTGTATGTAGAGCTCTGATTACTAGCACTTTTAAAAACTAATGCTAAATTTGAAAAAAAAAAATTATTAAAACGTATTATGACTTGTTATCCTATGCTATTCAATATAAATTAAATCAGATACAGTATAATGCAGTTGATGGACAATATTAAAAAATCTTGAATTTTTGTAACAATGGTTTTATTTTTGTCGGAATAAACACTTAAGTATGATTAATACACCATATTCACATTATAAATGAATGCGACATACGGTGTATGCCAGCATATGCAGATATTGATTTAATTGACGATCCAAGTGTACATGAAGTCCATCGAAGTAACTCTATCTCCAATTAGTATTCGTACTTATTAATGTTCATGTAAGATAAGATCTTGATCACTGCTGAAATAACTTCTCTTTCAGATATCGGTCAATTTCAGGGAGATCATTTAATTTATTCCATTCATAGTACGGAACCTGAAATAATAAAAAATTCGAGATTAAATTGTCAATGCGATTATCGAAAATTACAAACTACTTATAACTCACCCTTATAACATGCCAGCCTAATAATGACAAATGTCTAGTTTTCATAATGGTATGACCTAAATATCGATTGGATTTGTACGCAAAATGAACTGGACCATCGATTTCAATTGCAATTCTTTCATAGTCAAGATGAGTCCTACTCGTATATACAGTATACAAGTATTAATGTATATA